TATATAATAATATATATATATATATATATATATATATATATATATATATATATATAATATATACGATAGAAATTTTCCTATAACTTAATTATTAATAAACCATAACAATTTATCTTTTGAATGTGTGCTGATGACATTTGATATGTGAAGATTAAATAATAAATACCAAAATATAGTGAATATTTTATGAATGAGAACATTTCAGAATATAATTGATGCTTTTTATGTCATACAAAATGACTCTTAATCTATTCTAATTGATATATAGTATAAACATTTTTTAGCTTTTTAAAATTATTTTCTATATAATAAATTATTGTTATTATTTAAAAACTAAATGAAATTATGTTTCTTATCAAATATTATAGTATTATATATTTTTTTTAATAACTATTTTGTTCAAAAATTGATTATTAAATTATTAAAAAATTTCAAAATATTTAAAAAGTTATAGTGTTAGCTTTACAGTGAAAAATGTACATAATTAAACACATTCTAAATACATTATTTTATTAACAAATTATTTTATTAAATATTTTCAAAATATATTCTTTATTTAATTTCTTTATTTATTTCTGCAACTAAAATATTATAATAATATAAAAATTTAACAATAAGATAAGTAATTATTTATAATCAAGTAAAAATTACAATTTTAATTAATTAAATTTTATTATATTTTTAAAAAATTCAGAAATTTGAGTTTTTTTCTTTTAATTTTTTTAGAATTAAGAATTTTTTAGAATTATAAATAAATATATTATATGACAACATTATTCTTATTTGTCACATAAATCTTTATATTTATAAATACATTTTTTATATTTATGTTCCAATTTGTTTTGACAATCTGTTTTGTATATGCAAATTCATAATTATTAATATTATATCTTACATATCATTCATTTTTACAAAATAATTATTGCCATTGATTAATTATTCTGTTTTTTTTTGTTTTTTCTTTTTTTTCTTTCTTCTTTTCTTGCATTATAAATTTATTTACATTTGTAAAAACATGTACACATGCATACACACACGCGCACACATTATTTGTCTCAATTTTAATGGAATTATTAAATTATTTAGAGAGTAATGATAAAATTACTATATAACAATAAAACAATATTTTTTCTTTTTTTGTATCGATTAAATTATTAATCCTAGTTTTTAGACATATTTAAAATTTCTATGATTAAAATAATATATAAAATACAATACTTGAATTATACTTATAATTTTTGTATTTATTTTTAATAAAAGATAACATTTATAACATTAACAAAATTGAAAAAAATTTTAAATGCATTCGCAAAAATATATAATTTGTCATTTTACTTGTTTCATCAGTTTCTTATTTATTTCATGGCTATAAAATTAATATAATGCTTTTCACGTTACATACCAAAAACACTGAATGATGAAACTATGATACAGCATTATTTACATAATTTTTCAAGCCTTTCCATCATTCATTTACAAATATATTTAAGAGAAAAAATTGTCAGTATGTGAGACAAAATGGCTGGCAATAACATAAGAGAATAGAGAAATGAGAAAATAAAGTTATACCATGTGATTTTGTTGAATAAACTATTGCTACAATAAGCCTCTCATCATTCCCCTATTCTTATTTCTATGTTACTAACAACCATTTTATCTCGCATATTAGCAACTCTTTTGTTCAAGAAACATTGTATACGTAAAATCCTTCTAGATTCCTAATATATGATGATGCATGATTCGTTGATTTTATAATATTATCTAGGAACGTATTATTAAATGATGCATAAATTAGACATCTTTCTTTTTAAAGAAAAATTATTATATTAAACATATTTTCATTTAAATATATAATAAAAAAATTATTTTTTAAATATTATTAATAATTTTCTAATATTACCATACTCTCATTATAGATAAAATCACTATATAAAAATTACTACATGTAAGCTTGTAAACTTTTAATATGAAATTAATAAACATAATATTTTTCTTTTTTTTTAATTATGCAATAATAATGATTAATAATTAAAATTATACAACATTCTACTAAGAGTTATACAATATTCAATTTCAATTACTTAAAATTTTATTAATATACAATTTGAATAATATAAAAAATTATTATTTTATAATTATCATTATATAATTTATAAAAAATTTACATGAAAATTTATATATATCGAAAGTCTGATAATATTTTGTAAATTTCTAGGAAAGGGTACTTTTAAAGCCTCAATACGATCCTGAGAATAATGCCCCTCCTTACTACTCTATTGCCGCACACTCACAGATTGAGGTGTGGCCATCGAGGGCAGCCATCTTCTTGACTTTCTGTCGCTTAGCATTTCAGGTAAATACGCAATTATTTCTTAAGTAATACTGATTAGAGTGGTGTGAGAGTGTACTGTGTTGTGTGCTCGAATGGTTTAAGCGTGCTACATATCGCTTTGTTAACGGCGCAACCGGGAACTCTGTGTGTCAAGGAGGGAAAAAAACCTTCTCCTCCTCCCGCGATAGAGAGGGCCGAGGGAGTGCCATGCGTTACGAATCCACAGCATCTTCGCATGACGACCGTTTAATTCAACATACAAGAAGCTACACGCTGTGACTGCATTCAATCACTGATTTGGGATCGTTTGTACCAGTTCAAATACGACCTGGGCTTTAATTCAGTATGTAAATCGTCCCCTAGGCTCTAGACCCCTGCGTCGCTATCCTGTCGCACCTTCAGCGCCCCCATTCTCCCCTCTTTGGCTTTATCCCCCTCCGCCACCACCTTTCGGCAATGCACTTCCGGCTGTGCAAAATTCGACAAAAAATTCCGAGTCCCAGTCCGGAAACTTAGTAAGTAAAAATTTATGTCACGGCTTCATTTTGACATTCCTTTGTCATCGTTTATTCTGTCAACCGACATCTCAAAGCTACAATAAACAAAAGGTCGGTACGCTTTTTAATGGTAGAAATCCACATTTTTATTTACATTTTTATAAAATTTTTTTTATCTTATAGCATATTTCTTATCCACTCTTTCATTTTACATCTTTAAAAAGATTTCATCAAAATTTCATGACTAATAAAAATATTAAACAAATATGTCAATTTTCTTCAATTTACATATATATAATATATATACATATAAAAAATATATATACATATATAAAAAATGTTTGAAATATTTTATATATATGATAGATAATTTTAAAAAATAATATAGTTTATACTAAATTTAAAAAAAATTTAAACAATTCAATTTATGAAATGTTAAAATAATCGATTAAAATATTATGTAATTATTAATTTTTATAACAAACAAATGAAATATAAACTTTAAAAGTTTATTTTATTAATTTATATTCAAGTTTTTTCATTGCTTTTCTTATAGAATAAATTATATTATATATGATTAAAATTTTTGCTTATGATCTATCTGTAAAAAGTTTTAAATTAAATTTTTAAGTTTTAAATCTTTCTTTGTATATTAATGAATATATCAACATAAAATATAAATATTTAATAAATATTTAAAACTAAAAAATTAAAAAAAAATGAAATAAAAAGATTATATTTTTACAATTTAATAAAATATCTTTTAATGAATGGGATTTCATGTTAAAAAATAGTATTTTGAAGCATATTATATCAATTTATATGGATTATATATACATATTTATTTGTCATTATCTGAACAAATTTATAAT